TATGAAAAATCCATGGTGCAGGCTGATGATGTTAGCGCATGTGTATAAGCAAAAAGCCACATGAATTCCGATCTCAGCGTCACATTCAGGTCGCATGGCCACGAATCGGATACGTATCCAATTTAGTACCACATATGAAAGTGGCACAAATCCGATTTGAAAAGATCAGATTTGCGTGTCCACACAGCCCTGAAAAGATCAGATCTGTGTCACATTAAGGCAAAAAATCCGATTTGAGTCACTTCAGCATGGCAGTGTGAACATGCAGGCACATGCATAAGCACAGTCACCTACTGACATGTTTATGGACTTTATGCAGTTTAAAAACTCCTCCCCCCCATCTAATCCTTACTCCTCCGACACCCGCCCAACCTCAGTGCGTGTGCGTGTGCGTGTGTGTGGATGGGGGGGGAGGTGTTCCCACACACAATAAATTTTGCTAAATGACAATAATGAAATATACCAGATATATTACCATAATACTATCAGAGCCTACTCTACTCTCCAAAAATCTTTATTGAGAGCTCAACATTGTGTGACTTGTCGCAATGTAATCAGGTTCACTGGATCTGTGCATGTTCTTTCACGTGCCACCACTGACTAGGACCGTGGCTAAGTGAGACAATTAATTCCTCCATGATAAATTTCTCCCACCAGTTACTGGACTGCTACCAGTAATATTTGCTGAGCAGGGAGGTTGGTGACAAAAAAAAAACTTTATTTTAGAATATTCAGCAAATCATCTTGCACCAATAATTTGAGAACCACTGACCTATACAATGATCCTGGGAACTTTTAAAAATGATCCATACTTCCAAATTAACAAGATGGCTTCTGCAGCCTTAGTTTCCACTCTCTGTAGATTTTCATTCATACAATATTTTTGTGAAGTGGTATTAAGATCCTTCAAATATCCATCCATTTTCTGTAACCACTTGTCCTATTCAGGGTCGAAGGAGGTCTCAAGCCTGTCCTAATGGCTATGGGTGCAAGGCAGGGAACTACCCACCCCACTCACACACCAATAACACACACATGAAAGAAATTTAGAAAGTTCGGTTAACGTCAGCATGTTTTAGGAGAACCCGGAGGAAACCCTATGATGACATAGGAAGAACATGCAAACTCCACACACTTGGAGCCATGGTAATGACTCGAACCCTGGTCCCAGAGGTATGAGGCAACAGTGCTAACTGTGCCACTGAAAAGATCAAATAATGTGCACCTGAAAAGATCTAATAATGTGCCACTGAAAAGATCTAATTGACTGTGTCTGCAAAGCTTGACAAAGATCCATCAAATACTTTTTGTGTTATTGCGCTAAAGAGAAAGTGCTTGCGGCAGCAGATTAGCCCCAAAACCACATTTTCCTTGTCCGGGAAATACAATACATACAATACAAGTCATGAATATGTGTATAGGATACTGTAGCACATACAAAATGTGGTACGAATTTGGTGCTCATGCGTAATTTTAACTGAAGTCTGACTATAGTGAAGGCCATGCACTCTTCTTGTACAAAGATAGTTGATGTAACCATGGTGACAAGCTTTTGGGCAGCTGATGTGCTTCTTTTGGACTGATTATTTAGTTGTGCATGTCTTATTGGCCTACCTTTTTGCAGAAGCCTGAACTACATTGTGTCTTGGCTGAGCACCGTTGGGCCTGCGGTGGGGCTGCACATCCCCCTCAGTTACGCCACTGCGTCCTCTGAACCCAGCGGGCTGGATCCAGACTGAAGCGCCGCAGCACAGTAAGGGCATCTGGGCCTTTCTCAGCAGTGTCAGAGCCTGTAACAGAACTCCGAACTGGGCTGTAACCAGAGAATTGGACTGCGAACTGCTTCAGACTAGCCTCAGGCTTATGTGGGGCCTGTTCTGCATGCGCTGGACCCCTTTTCTTGTGTAAATTATATCTCATAACCAAGCAGGGGTTGTAAGTGCTCACTGCTGATTTCTGCTGCATGCTGTCAGCCTAAACAGAAGACTGTAGGTCATTTCCCAGTGTCATCTGTTATTGTGAATCATCAGGTAAAAGGTGCTATGTTATTATACTTTTTAACTGTCAATTGTGTGAATAGTGATATAATCCAAAATAAAAGTTCAAAACAAATCCATTCTTTCCACCCTGTTTCACACCCTGGAGGATAAAAGAATCTGACCTTGCAGGTTTGCAACTAATCTAGTAAACAGGGTGTGCTGCTGAACTGGTAAAAACAATGTTAAACTAATTCAGTTTATCTGTTTATCAGTTTGCTTTATTTCTTATTTAACATTCCCCTAATCTTTTCAGTATTTTGTGTTTTTGAAAAATTGAAAATGGTTGGGTGTTTCATGCATATAGGGGTGTTTGTGTGTACAGTATACGTATGTGCTGTGTATACCTGCCTTTGTGTGTATAAGTGCGTGCTGTGTATACCTGCCTTTGTGTGTATACGTATGTGCTGTGTATACCTGCCTTTGTGTGTATACGTGTGTGCTGTTTATACCTGCCTATGGTGGGTATACGTGCGTGCTGTTTATACCTGCCTTTGTGTGTATGCGTGCACGTGTCATCCTCCATGTATGTGTGCAGGTGTGTGGGAGAGAAGGGGCAGATTCAGCTGGGTGTGAGGAGCTCCGGGATACAGCAGTGAGGGGGTGGGGGGTCTATTTTGGGCGCGTGCGTAATGCAGCAGTGAAATCAGGGAGGAGATCCTCCCAGCGATGCACCAGTGCCACTAAATCAGGAGAGGGAACAAAGGCAGTGAGGTGACAGTCCCTTTCTGCGGGGAGGGTCTCAAACTGCATGAGCAAGAAGGCATTTCTGCCCATGAAAAATTTAATTTTTATGTATATCTGTGTTAAAATCCAATGAGACACTGGCTACTGGATGGAAGAAATGCTATTTATTCATTTTACTATTGCTTTAATTTTAATTTTACAGGGTCGTTTAGTCAAGGTAAACTGCATGTAAAAGAGCTAAACTTTAAACATTGTGTTATGTGTCTCAATGCAATGTAATGTGGGGCAGAATGCAATTCTAACCAATCACATGGTAGTCCTTTAAGAACGGATAACCAATAAACATACAGAAAGGTTGACTGAGTTAGCAGAGCGCGCCACATGCTACTGCTTTGGTAATTTAATGAAAGAGCTGAACGCTTTCTTGGTGTTAACTTGGTTGGTGTCAGAGACGCGGAAGAAAGTGAAAGCTCAGCAATCACATCATCTCTTTAAAAAGGATATGAACACGGTAATAATACGTCATTAGTGGGCCAGTACTCTGGCAATTTAAAGTCTGACACGCAACAGACAGGTGATGTTCACTGTAAATTCTGTCGTGTGCCAACGGGAACTGGAAATACTGCAAACTTATTTCCCAACTCTAAGTACTACCATCCAATAGACTCACAGACTGCAGCAATTAGGGTTTCCACTTTCAATCTGAAGAAATACGGGACAAATCACATCCCGTATTGGTTCAATAATTTTACATTTCAGAACGGGACGTGAGGCAACCAGAGGTCAACGCTACGCCGAATTCTGAGGGACGTTATGAATTAATTTTTTATTTTTTTTGCTCACCACCAGCATATTATTGCCACACTGGAGGTACCCATCAGGCATGTTGTCCCCAACCCTGTAAATTATATAGTTTCCTTTATCAGTCATGTATTGCAGTGTTACTGTACTGTATGTAATGTCATGTGTAATGTTGATTCTTGTAAATAGTGGTACGTGTGTGGCCCCCGGGTGTTGGGGTGGTGGGGGCGTCCAGCGCGGTGGGCAGTGTGTGTCGTGAGTGGTGGGTGTTATATGTCTGTATTCGATCCTCCTAAGTGCTGTAAATAAAGAGCGATTCTGTTCAACCAAAGCCTGATTCGTTCCTCGTCGCTGCCGGGATCCCCCACTCTGCCAAACATTACAGTATTTATAAATGTACCCTATGTACATTTATAATTTACCTTGCACGGACAAGTTGATGATCCCGGGTGGAAACTCCATCAGCAATGTCAAATCTGTTCCCGGCAAGGAGCGAGGCAGTCAGAAAAACAAGTTTTTTTGTATGGGCTGTGTATTAAAATTTGGTTTCATTTTGCTGTCCATTAAATTTGTGGTCTTTTTTTATACTTGGGATTCCCCTTGATTAGATTCAAATTGAATTTTAAGCAAGAATGGAGTCTTTAAGTAAAGAAACATTATATTGATTCGAATTATATCGCGATTATTATGATATTGACTGATATGAAAAAAAATACCACGATAAAATATAGATATTAGGACCAGCTCTCTCACCAGTCGGTATTGGTATTGTAGTCGGTATTGGTATTGGTATTGTAGTCGGTATTGGTATTGGTATTGTAGTCGGTATTGTACGCTGTAGGAGAACTTTGGTCGTGGGAACTGCAGCATGGTGTCTCAGTGTCAAGTGTCTCATCTGATATCGTCCTTTCTCGGCAATCTCCAAGGCTACACATTTCGTCTATAAATTAGTACTTTATTGTGCCCCCTATAGTACAAGAAAGCGAAGGTAGCTATATTAGAAGTAGAGGGTTGTGGACCCGAATGTTGATCAGTTCATGAAAGTGTGATGGCAAATGGATGAACTTTTATGATGATATCGCGAAATGTATGAAGAAAAAAGAAAACTACAAAGCTTACAAAATATACTAAAATGTTATAAAAGGTGCAAAGGTGATAAAAGCAATATCTAAAGATGGTATGTTTAAAATATCAGTAAGGAGCTTAACCTTGCTTAACGACCAATTCGCTTAAGGACCCAGTCCTAGGAATGGAACTCTGTCGAGTGTGTGTATTTTGCCATATCACCCAACCCTAGGTGTAATTATGTGGCTCAGGAAATTAAAGTAGACGCCTTGACATTGCTTAAGTAAATGTACATCAGCAACGTTAATGCAAGCTTAAATCACTGAAGGGCGGTAGTCATCCTTTGTCTATTGCTATAAAAAGGAAAAACCTTTTCATTCACAGCTGCATGCTTTAGAACAGCCCTGCACATTTTTGGGTTTACACTCATTTAACACACCTGATTCAACTCCTTGTGCTAATTACCACATAGCTCTTGAGCTGAATCATTTGTGATGGAACAGGGAAAGAGCTAAGCTACACAGGGCTGCGGCCCTCCAGGAATGGAGTTTGACATCCCTGGCTTAGAGAATCAATGTATTATACTCACATTTTATGAATGTGTGTGAATAGTTTTAATCAGCAATAAATAAACATATTAAATAAACAGAAATGTGATACACATTTTGTCAGTGCTGATGAAGTATCAGTTGACTTGAAAATACAAAGAGCACTGATGACATCTGTTGGTAGAAACGCAGTAGTACAGCGTCTTCTGCATTAATGATTGCCTTTTCCCCAGAAGGTAAGTACTCCAAGCCACTTGACAGGGGCCTATTGAAGCTGTAACAGTTAATCAAGTCCTGAATGGCTAAATCATGTGTTTGCACGGATTATCCCCTTTTGTATGAATAGTTCTAAGAAAATGGTGTATAAAACACATTACTTCCAATACCAAACTTATTCACTGCAGACAGCCCATTTGGGTTAGGGTGCCCTACACACGTAGAATACTTAATTTATATGATATCACTGGATAGCTATTAAACATTTTCCTGTTTATGCCTTAAAATATGCATGCACACTACTAACATTTATATTAATTCTGCTGCAATACCACAGTTTCCATGGTATACAGGGTGTTTTTTCTAATTCTTTCAGTAGGACTTAAGTGAAATGTACCGCTTCCCGTGCAAAATTGCACAAACTCCAACTGAAAGAAGTTATGTGTAGGAGGCCTGTAGGTCTGGAGTGCCAGGCACCTGGGAGAACGTGGGCCTCCTAAAGGCCACGAGGATGTACCGCTGGTCTTCTGCAGGCAATGCAATCCACAGGAGTTTCGCATGGCTTCAGGACTTGGCGAAGATGGCTGCTCTCCTTATTCATACTGTCCTCAGTAGAGGCCCTATGAAAATTTAAATGTACTAGTCAGTGTACATGCTTTCAAAATCCTAAAAGGGATGATAACCATATGATAAGCACATGATAAGCACATGATAAGCACATAACCACATGATAACCATATGATAACCATATGATTATTATAGCTAACCCAGTAAGATCTGTGTATTCTAGCATTGTTTTATTTTTAATTAAAAAAAAAATATTATTTTATTTTTTACTTAAGTTTTGCCTTTAAAAAAAAAACAGAAATCGCTTAATAAAATATGGAATTGGCCTGAGATCACAAAAAAATATTGTTAGATTTCAATCATACTGGGGACCCCATGCTTGAAGGTTATGGAAAATTATATATAGCACCTGAACTGTGTGTGTGAGCGGAAGTTTCCAGTCACTGATTATATGAATGAGACAATATGAAATGACTGATAGCAAGGCTTGCAAAAAATATGGGGCAGTTATCCTAAATACCCCCAACAATTGTTTAGAGAAATGATAGGGTAGGATTAATATATCTGGGGCCCTGGGCTGATATCAGCACACCAGCATAGGCACTCAGGTTTTGATGATTTAACTAACTGTTCCATTTTTCCCACGGGTGGGGGTGGGGGTTTGGATAGCCAATGCTTTGATCTGCACCTGATGATTTTGCATTTCTTTGGGGTACAGAAGGAAACCCATCTTAAAATAGGTAAAACATTTGAAATTCTCAGAAAACCCACTTCTCAATTCAAACCCCTCAGCTGTTCAGCCATAATCTTACCGCAGTACAAGGTCAGATTAATAAGCAAATTCTGCACTGAATGAAATACACACACATTGAAAGATTATGCTATTAATGGATGCTTTGTTAAGATATTCACAACCATCTGCTGAGTATGTGGATTTAAAGAGGGGCAGATTATTTTTAATTCATGGGAGCCGTTACTTATTAGTCCAGCAGAGGCTGCTAACGCCACAGATTTAAAAAGTAGAACGTGAAATGTGATTGCCTGGTTTACAATACAGTTCTCCAGACATTTGTGAACTTTTTTCTACATAGAACAATGAAATGTCACAATGACTGCCAAGATGTGCAATGTGGAGGAAATAAACAAGTTCCAAAATCAACTCAATTCCAAGCCCAGTGGTGCAGAAATAACTGCAGTCTTATTTAGGGATATATATTTCTCTCTTTTATCACTCAGAATTTGACTTTGAGGTGTGCAGCTGTTGAAAATGAATGCCCACTTCATAATGTTCATTCTAAAATGCTCAATAAATTACGTGTGTTATGAGAAATTTAAAAAAGAAAACAGCGGGGGTGGTAGCCCGATATCCTGGCAAAAATTGCCCATTGTGGCCCTGTCAGATCTGGCCTCCAATCATCCCCTATATCTAAATGGTGAATCCTCTTCTGCCCAATACAAAATGACAAATGGCTTTACTATCTATGCCGTAAATATGCAGGTTTTTGGAGCAATGTAATTGGCAGCACCATGCAGGGACTCGAATCTGATAAAAGGGCAGGAAAAATATCAGCACGCACACAGAAAACAAATCATGCTATTGTCTTTCAAGGTTAATTTTGTACTTTGTAGTTTGCAGTCGATTGACAGCCTAATATCTTAAAACAGATATTATCAGACGCATCTCTTATGCTGATAGAAATTTGCGTGTATAATTGTTATCTAATACATTACAATTTATACAAAGCTCTGCTCTAATGATTTTAATGTTTTATTTGACTTTTATTTTGTATTTTATTTGCAGTCATGGTCATTTGACATTTCATTAGGGTTGCAATATAATGTAATAACACATACAAAATTGTCCAATACCTAAAATGAAATGAAGTAGCTTTAAATGTAATAAACCAACATCAAAGGTCTGCATAGGCTGCTTCTCAGGTCATTTATTCCTGTGCATATCATCAATTGGGAGGTGAGTATTCATGACAGGGAACAATGGAGTCTTATGTACCATGCTCTTCCTGAGATCACCAGCGAGTGATTCATTAGGCTGTGCGGCCAGAAAGCCACATCCTAACCCTTTACCTGTGGAGCTGAGAGATAGAGGCCAGGAACAAAAGTGTAGTTATTTATTTGTCAGCAAAGCTGGCTTTCTCACATCTGTAAGCTATAAAGTGGTTCATGCCCCCACCAAGTCTCTTACAGGAGATGAATCACTGGAAAAAATAACACTACAGTTTTGGGGGGGGGTTGGGGCGCTTGGGGATGCAGTTGGGAGAACGAGACGAGGCCTGGACAAGGAATATCAGGCTTGAAAATATCACCACTATGGGTGCAGAGGTGTCTTTGGCCACTGCTGAATGTCAAACTTTATCCTTCAGCTCAGACTCTGGCTAAACGTTCTCATTGGTTTTGACTCTGAAATTTCTAGCATTTCTATGCCCACATAATAATGCATGAGAACGCATCGCTCCAGTTTCTGCTGGTAAAGCGATTCCTGAACCGGGGCCATGCAGGCTGCGCTCCAAGGCACATAAAGTCCGTCCATCCATTTTCAATAAATGCTTATCCAGTCATGGTCACGGTGGTCCAATGCCTGTTCCGGGAAGCACAGGGCATAAGGCTGCATAAATCCTGGATGGGACACCAATCTATTAAAGAAAAAAAAAAAAACTGGCAGAGACGTCATTCACACGCTAGGGAAAATTTAGTCACCGGTGCATGTAAACTGCATGTCTTTGTGTGCAAAAATCTCAGCACCTTAAAGGGGGTTACATAGAGAGAACATGCCGACTGTATGTTTAAAAACTGCAACTTTATATTTCAGGCATTGTCCTCTGATAATAACATGAAGGAAACGGCATTAAGCAAAACAACTGAAATCAGAGGTTTGTGACTCGACCAACGTGCCCTGACAAAGTGTCAGGTTTGGGGC